CACACACACACACACACACACACACACACACACACACACACACACACACACACACATATTTGCACAATGGAGATCCCCACTTCCCCGCCTCCCTAACCTCATTCTCTGTTATGAACCTGGTTGCTTGTTGTCAGAAGACCAACACTCGCTCACATAGACTTCCAGGTATGCCCATACATACACAGAAGGAATGGGAGAGGATGGGAGTATCACCCCGCACAGAGAAATAGAAACACAGCGGAAGACTTGACCATGTGATATGACAGAGTGTGCAATTCACTCCACAGAATCCTCACAAAAAGTCACAAAGGAAAGCCGAGTAGATCACATCCAGGAAACACTGAAGCAAAGATAGTTCACCCACAGTATCAATACTGTTCATTAAACTCAGAGTCTCGATTTGTCATAGTAACCCCAGAACTGTGATGCGCTGCTCAGAAATGAGCTGCGCTTCTTTCCCCAACCCTGAGTAACCGCTATCACTACCCTTGAGCCCCTGAAACAACCAGCGCTTCCCAGATACTGCCTCCAGAGGGAAGCGCCAACCTGAAACAGGCCTCTGAGTCCAAGCGCCTCTCAGAGGATGAAGAAGAACACCAGTGCCACAGTCTCTGATGATGATGAAGTGCCAGAAGACTTCCCGGATGGAAATCTGCAGCAGCGCCACCTCTCCTAACAAAGATGATCTCTGAGGATGAAAGCTGCAGCTATGGCTGCAGCGCCACACACCCTGACACCCTAGTTCTGAGGAGGGTTCAGCAGGGCACTAACTTCTCTTGCCTCCAGCAGACTTCAGATAGCCCGGACCTCTGAACAGCCCCGAGTGCTGTCAAAGAACACCGTAGGTTCCAGCTATGGCCGACGCTTGGAACGTCCGGCTATGTCCGTCTCCTCCAACGCTGAAGCTGTACCACCACCAGTTCATGCATTGCGCAGCCACGATGTACACGGTACCAACTGCCAAAAAGCCTCAAACTGTTTTTCCTACACCTATTCATAGTCTACCCTAGCCTAGACACGACCTAGACCGGACTGACTGGACTGACCAATACCGTTTTTGTTCGGCCCCTAGGGCCTCTCCCTACCTGGCTTTAGGCTATAGGACAGTCTAGCAGTATGGGCCCATAGGCCCTTCTGTCCTAGTCGTAGCCCGGGTCTGCAATTCGCAGTTAGGGAAGCTGTAGGAAATTCGAGTTAGTGCAGGCCTGAAATTCTACGAATTTACAGATATGTCCCTCGCGAATTTTCCTCACAGTCAAATCTCTCGGTTAACCCTCAGCCAAACAAAATTACAAAACTAACCAACCTATGTTACAGCCTCGGGTCGACGGGTCGCAGGCTGCAGAACCAACAAGTCATTGCAAACCTACCCTCCCTCGGAGTGCGGACCTCCGAGCTAGGAGTGCAGGCATGCAGAGCGTCGAGGGTATTGTCCCCTCTTAGCTGCCTCATACTTGAGAACAGCAGACTTTGCTATCTTGAGAAGTTCCTTGCGTGTCAACCAGCGATCCTCAGTGTGAGGCTGGTACAGAAACTTCAAAAGATACTGCATGTCTGGGTTTGTGCCCATCTCATCCTCAATCGATTCCACTTCAAATCCCTTGCCAAGGATCGATGGACCGTAATGAGGGGGTCTGTCCGAAAATGCATCAACCGATGTAAAAAGCAATAGCTTAGATGCATGGAAAACTGGATAGGTTTGTAGATGCAGAGGGACGTCAACAGTATAGGATGTTCTGAAAGGATCAACTCCCACTGTATCTAAAACCTGCCATGGACCCATATATTGTGGCGACAGCTTAGGTGAAATGTCCTCCTCCCGTGATAGCTCAGAACTGAGCACCCAAACCCAATCATGTGTGTGAATAGTAGAAGGACGACGATGCCGGTTAGCCTGTTGTATCATAGCCTGTTGGGCTTTGAGCAGGTTGGCACGGGGGCGTTCTATATCCACACGATAACACCCGGTGAACTATGTGGTCCCAGGTGTCAGTGTAGGTGTAGCCTTATCGATGGTATCATCGAGAGACTGTCGTGGTTGACGGCCCCAGTGTAATCTATAGGGTGTGAAACCAGTGGAGGAGTGGACAAACGTGTTGTACACTAGCTGTGCACGACCCAGATGCAGATCCCAGTCCTGCTGATCTGGACTGATCACATGACGCAGCAGCTAAAACAGAATTAGGTTCATCACTTTAGCCTGTCCATTGGCTTCAGGATGACGACCAGATGTCATGTCCAAGCGGGAATGAAGGTAATCCTTGCAATAGGACTGCCATTCATGGCTGCAAAAGTGGGAATCTTGATCATTAACAATAGCGGTGGGTGGTCCATGATGTGTGACCCACTTGTCAGCAAATGCCGCATGAACGACAGGGACTTTGACTTCTCTTGACAAAGGGATGAATTTTGCATACTTGGAGAACATGTCCACACAAACCATAACCTGGCGCATACCACGTGGAGTGGTCCTCCCCAGATCAGTAAAGGCTATGGACACTAATTATGCAGGTGCTTCAGGGATGGGAAGTGGTTTAAGTAGGACAAGGGGAGGTCTGCATACGACCTTGTTCCTTTGGCACAACTCACAGGTTTCAACGTAGTGCAGTAAAGTCACTCCTCATCTCTTTCCAGAAGAACCTCTGCGACAGGGCCGCATACGATTTGAGGGTTCCAAAGTGTCCACGAGCATCATGACACTCTGACATAAAGAGTGCTCTCAGCTTGCGATCCTAAGGAATGCATAAACGCTTCTCGCCTCTGTTGCAAGTATACGACAGACCTGAAACCAGAGCGTAGCTTGATTCAGAGGCAGAATCGGTCTGCAAGTTCCTCACAATAGGCCCAAAAATCAGGTCCAGAGGCAACAGTTGGGCAATGGAGTCTTCTCTCCAAAGGAGTGAGTGAAGGAGATCAAGAAGAGAGCGTCGGCCCTATGAGAAAGGGCATTTGCCACTCGATTGTAGCAGCCCTTCTTGTGCTTCAGTTCAAAGTCAAACAAGTCAATGAACTGAATATAGCGAGCAAGCTTGTCATTCAGCTCTCCCTGGGACTTCATCCATTGAAGAGTGGAGTGATCTGAAAAGATTTTGAAGTGTCTGCCCAGGAGAAAGTGCTTCCAATGCTTGAGCGCTGACACAAGAGCATAGAGCTCCTTCTCATAGGTAGAGTCTTACAACTTCTTGGCTTTGATCTTCTTGCTCATGTACTTTACAGGCTGCACATCATTCCCACTGTCTTGCTGAAGTACCGCCCCTACACCATACTTACAAACATCAGTGGTTAGCACAAAAGGCAAAGTAGGGTCAGGTAACTTCAAAGCCTCCTTGAGAAGTGTAAAAGCCTCCTAACAGTCTGATGTCCAGAGAAAGGGAGTATATTTCTTTGTGAGATCAGTCAGGGGTGTTGCAATGGAGGAAAAGTTCTTAATGAACTTCCTATAATAGGATGCACGACCCAAGAAAGACCGGACATCACAAACTGTTAAGGGCTTTCGTCGGTCTTGAACATCAGCAACTTCGGTTGCTTCAGGAGCCTACCCCTCTTTAGAGATGACACGGCCCAGATAGATAACAGATAGATAACCGAGCTAACTCCAAAAGAGGACTTCTCTCGGTTGATCTTGTATTGGTTGTCATGTAAGGCCTGGAGGACAAGAGCCAGATTTTGCGCATGCTCCCGGACAGAATGACTGAATATCAGGATATTATCCAGATAGACAACTACAAACTTATCCAGGTAAGGCCTGAGTATGCGATGCATCTCTGTTTGGAAAGTGTCAGGGGCATTGCAGAGATCGAATGGCATGACCAGGTACTCATAGGTACCATATCTGGTCATGAAGGTTGTCTTGTGGACATCGCCTTCATCCATCTCAATCTGGTGGTAATCAGATTTGAGGTCGATCTTGCTGAAAATAGTACAACCTTGCACCATGTTCAACAGATCGTCGATCCAAGGAAGAGGCTTTGTAGACTTCCTCGTGATCTTTTTGAGTCCCCTGTAGTCCACACACATTCTGAACTCACCATTTCCCTTTGGAACGAAGAGAACAGGTGCCCCAAATTCAGATGTGCTGGGACGTACCTAGCCCTTGTTGGTCAGGGTCTCTAACTGTTTCCTGAGCTCATCAAGTTCAGCAGGGGATATCATGTAGACTCGGCCCTTGGGAGGGACCGCGCTAGGCAGAAGCTCAATCTTATGCTTGGTCTACCTATGGACAAGTCCAGAAGGCTCCTGCAAAAGGTCTGAGAACCGGTCAACCACTTGCTGAATTTGAGAGGGACAGGGAGCAGTCTCCACATCAGTTTGTTTAACATACGCTACAAACAAACGTGTGTGGTCAGTCTGGCGTGAGAGTCGCAAAAAGTTACGAGCACGCATACAATAACAGTTACTGGTCGGATGATACTCATCAACGAGCATACAAGGGCGATACTCCCCTCGCCGGTCAGGCAGCTCAACCCTAGGGATCCGCCAGT